CCCCGTAGCCACGCCCCCCGCCCTGGCGCGCCTATTGGCCGCCGCCGCCCGCGCGCGCGCGCTCCGGTAGCGGCGGGAGGGGCGGGTCCCGTAACGGGCTGCCCCGGGGCGGCAGCTCCTGCCCCACACAGCCCTGCCTGCCCCACACTGACCACGCGGCATCCACAGCGGGGAGCCGCGGCGCCCCCCGGCACGGAGCTGTGGCTCCTGCACCCATCCCTGCAGCACCTGCAAAATCACCGCCCTCCTCCTCCTCACCATTAGCCTCATTAAGTCTCTCGTTTAAGGGAGAGGTTGACAGGCAAAATCACTTAGGGCTTACTTCAGGTTGTACATTCCATTAATTGCAAGCAGAAACCCAAGGCGCAGGGAAGAGCTGTTCTTTCCTCCATAGCAGTTGGTGCTTGCGCACATTTGCTTGCATTCTCACCAAGCAACACAGCTTGTGATCCACACAGCCCCCTCTGGGGCCACCTTCCCCTCCTAGCTACCCTTGGGACTTCCTTTGTCTTAACCCTGCAGTTAACTCAATATTCAGGTGTGCGTACTTAATGAAGAATTATCTTAAGATCACTTTATCAGGTCAGCTACACTAAAATATTAAAGACAGAATGAAACCAGCTTTCCACATATCTGCTGTGACTGAGCATACTTAAGCAGACTACATAACGTTTCACTCRCTGAACTTTTTGGATCTTTCCCCTGCTCTGTCAGCTGAAGAACCCTTTTAAGCTAAAAGGCACAGGCAAAACTGGACATAGCAAGTCAAATGAGATGGCTTCCTTTTTCTTGTTACTACGTTAAAAGGAAAGATAAAGGTACAGAAATATATTTCCATACAGTCTATTAATAAGGCTTTTGAATATTCAAAAATGGGGTTCCTCCCCATCCAAAGACACCCAAAAAACTTGCCAAATTTGTTGTAACAGAATACATAACAAAACTGACTTAAGTGAGGCAGCTTTATTCATTTATAATCCTACTTTGAATAAGACGACAAGCTACAACTATCTTCAGCTCTATAGAAATTAGAGAGGCTTTTGGATGCAGAAAAAACCTCTCAACCTAATAAAGAACAGACACAGAACACAAGCTTCCTCCTGCACAACTAGCCACCTCCTGACTGGTTATCCAGCTCCCACCCACACCACATCTCAGGGAAAGAAACCCTCTCGTAGMTTCCTCTGCTATCTTCCCTAGCGGGCCCCAGCACTGAGACTACAGCTTCCAGGGTGCTGAGCTGTGCACTAGGCTAATACATCACCTTGTACTGTGGTAGATGATATAAAGCAGCATGACTTTCCCTCTACTGCTACCATCTGGCCGAGGCAGCAAACCACTTGGAGCTTGCGAGGCAACAGGAACCTCCTTGACTGAGGTCTGCTCACCCAGCAACAYGAGCCAAGCAGGACATCTCACAGCAAACAGGGCCATGTCAGCAGTTTTGTGGGCCAAAGCAGGAGGAGGCTGGTCCGCATTCAGGAGCTGGCTTTGGCACTTGCATTGCTCTGCTCTTCCACCCACTGCAGTGCAGCAGGTCACACTGGAGCAAGCGGGGCTGACCTGCAAGACCTTCACCACTGCAAGCAATGCTTGCCTGCCTCCTAGGAGTAGTTTGCCTGGGAAGAGCTTGGCTAGAATCAGGACTTGGCTTCTTGTCTACCTCCAAAAAGGGGAGGTGAAAGGATGAACACAGCTCTTACCAGGTGTGATGACAAGGCAGGGGTATAAACCAGCTCCTGCATGATTTGCYTCTGTCCTGATTTATAAAATGCTCTCTCAGAAGTTGCCCAATGTCAGGAAAAAGGGAGGGAGAAAGGAGAATAAGAAAAAATTGTGTAGTTATAGACAGTAAAAAAAAAACTGAGGAAAGAGAACACAAGCCAAAAGACTGAAACAAATAAGAGGAAAGAGGAAAAAAGATACTAGGTGTTTTAGTCAGGATAAACGGTATATAATAGCAACTTGAAAGAACAGCAGGTCATTCTAGCAAAGGGTATATCCAACACAGATGCTGGAAACTGATGAACTTATTTTCCCGAGATGCCTGTATTGCAAGCTCCCCACACACCTCCAGACAGCGGACTCCCACCCCTTTGCTGGTGGGATTGCTGGGCAAAGACTCACGCCCTACCGTTACCTACGAGCCAAAGTGTTTGCTTCGGAATGCCAGCAGGAAGCAGACAAAATACACCTCGTGCGAGCCCCAGCAACCGGAGCCACAACACGGAGCCCTCGCACCGCCTGGCCACGGTGACACCACCGACTCCCCTCAGCTCCACCGTGTCGCACGGCAGCGCGGCGACGGCCTGCTGGAGAGACGCGCCTCAGCTCGGCTACTAGTGAGCACCGCCAAGGCAGCCCAAGAGACCCTGAGGCTGCGGGGCGGACAAGGCCACGGGAGCGGAACCCGCACCTATTCGTCCGTTAACGGCCGCTCCTCGAGCCCGCGCCTATTCGTCCGTTAACGGCCGCTCCTCGAGCCCGCGCCTATTCGTCCGTTAACGGCCGCCTGGCCCCGCCCCCGCGCGCTCGGCGGGAAGCCGGCGCCCCCTCTGACGTCACGGCGCGCGGGCGCCGCTGATTGGCGGAGGGCTCCCGGAGGGAGCTCCGGCCCTGCGGCGCAGGGGTAGGACAATACCACGGGCGCATGCGCGCTCGCTCCCCCTCCCCCCCTCCCCGCTGCGTTGCCCCCGCCCTC